CAACCAGCATAAAGAAATTATTCTGGGTCTTTGGCTTGTTTGCATGAGTCATTTTTTAATGCAGTCATTATTCTGTCAGTTCTGATGTTATTAAAAACAAAATAATCTGAGCTTTGGTTCTGATGTTCAATTTGTAGCGGGGGGGGGGGGGAAGGAAGTGATGAATGAGGCAGCTGGCTTGGAACTCATACAGCAGCCCCCCCCCTTTCCTGCTCTTCCCCCTCCCCCCAAAATATTTGTTCTTGTATTTGTGGATACAACCTCAACCAACTGAATAATTTACACCATTGAATTAATAGCTTTACGGGCCCTGTAGGCTCAGTTGACGTTTATATGTAGAGTTTTAATTCTAAAATATCACATTTGAGGGATCATGGAGAGCATTAAGTCCAACTTACTGATCAGTGTATAAATCCCACATTCATATCAAAGACTTTCCAACAAACAGCTGTGCAGCCGCCTTGGCCCAACCACAAACACACACAGAGTTGTTAGTTCCTTGTCATGCACATATGGAGATTTTCCCAATGTTCAACCAGAACGTCTTGAACATCACAAGTGTTGGGACCACACAGGCTGCTCCATCAGCCACATGAGTTATGCTGTTTAAGAACATTTGAAGAGTTCACAGACCAAACTCCGTTGAAGGAGTGCGTCTACTGGCCCAGCAAACGGTGTTTGAAGGCAGGCCCCCTCCCCAAGAGATGGACCACATTAAGAGCCCATCAAGAGCTGGGGAAATACCTGGCACCTTTGCCAAGATTGCGGGGCACGCATGGTTTTGTCTAAGAGGTTCTGCAGATTCAGCCCAACTGGGCCAATTTGGGAGATGGCCGACTGACCACTGGCAGAGTTCCTCAAAAGCTGACTGTGTGGAATACGAAGCCTCTCCAAAATTGCAAATATCTGCAAAAAAAAATTACTTTTTTTTACAGAAAATGCTTGGGAAGAAGATGGTGGCTGCAGTAGTGTGAATATATATGTCTACATGAAAAGAAGGACTTGGGGAGACATGATAGCAGTCTTCCAATATCCCAGGGGCTGCCCCAAAGAAGAGGCAGTCAAGCTATCCTCCAAAGCACTTGCAGGCAGGACAGGAAGCAATGGGTGGAAACTAACCCAGGAGGGAAGCAACTAAAGAGACATTTCTGACAGTGAGAACAACTTTGCCTCAGGAGTTGTGAATGCTCCAACACTGGAGGATTTTAAGATGATGTTGGATAACCATTTGTCTGAAGTGGTGTAGGGGTTGGACTAGAAGACCTCCAAGGTCCCTTCCAACTCTTCTAATTCTATCCTATCCTATTCCTATTCTAATTCTATTCTATTTTATTCTATTCCTATTCTATTCTAATACAGCTTTGGTCTCTCTTTTTAGATGTGTAAAAATGGAGTGAGGCTTCAATAACAGTTGGGGGGGGGGGGGAAACCCTGCCGAAATAATATACCCCGAGAAGCCTCATGGCGGGGAATTCCTAAAATGAGTCCAACCGGGAATTTCAGAGATGAAATGGGAGGCCCCTTCACCTTTTACCATGTTTCACCCAAACCCACCTCAGACCAAACCTGGGTCGTCGATGGTGCCGCATGCCCCTCAAGGAGCACACACGGGTCAAGAAGGCTCAAGCAAGGAGGGCTACGCCAGTGGTCTTTATTCAAAGAGCAAGTTACAAAAAAAAGAAAAAACACCAAGAGAACCACCGAAATGGTAAAAAGTTACACACAAAACGAACTATATGGTCCCATCAATCAAGACAAGCCGAAGTATCTACATTCAGAAAAAGAAAAGGAACGAGAGCCCAGATGTGCTCCCCTTTCACACCCACACACACATACAGGCCCAAGCCAGGGCTGAACGGAGTCCGTGACACGAGGGCAGGTGGTCCTGGAGCAGGGGTACCCTACCTCTCCTGCTTTGTGGACCGGGGAGGGGAGCTGTGCACACCAGCTCCAGGGTGGGCACTTATGTTTGTGCACGTGAAGCTCACGTCCGCCGCTTCCACACATTGGGAGCTTCCCCTGCAGGAAGACAGTGCCCGCCACTCGCACAAACATAACATGCTTTGCCTGCCACTTGAGCAGCCTGGTTCCCAATGGGCCACAGAGCGATGCTTGGTCCTTGGTCCGGGGGGGGGGGGGGAGTTGGGGACCCCTGCCCTGGAGAATGTTGGCCTTGGCTTCCTGCAGAAAGTGAAGCAGGAAGGCCTCTACAGAAGCAGCCTTGGCCACTTTTAAGACTTGTGGACTTCAACTCCCAGAGTCCCTCAGGCTGAGGATGAAGGCCCCTGCTTCTAGAGCAGGGATGGCAAACCTTTTTGTTGTGGTGTGGCGATAGCACCCACAATGCAATGCGCCCCCTCCTGCATATGTACACACAGCGCCTCCGCCTGTGCATATGCGCACCTCCCAGCTGATTTTTGGCCCGTTTGAGGCTGTTTTCGCGCTCCTGGGAAGCCTCTGCGGCCTCGGAAGGCCGAAAAACGGGCCTTTTTTTCGGCCTCCCAAGGCTGCAGAGGATTTCCACAAGCCTCCGGGTGGGCGAAAATGGCCTCCAATGGCCCCAAAATCAGCCGGGAGAGGCGCATGCATGTGCATTGCAGGTAAGTTTGCCTGGGGATCGCGTGCCTGCACAAATGGTTCTGCGTGCCAGCTGTGGCATGCGTGCCATAGGTTCGTCATCACGGTTCTAGAGCTTTCCCCTTACGGCTTGGCCTCCCTCCTGGCCTTGTACGTCATCTGGCTTCCAATGGAGAAATAGGCCACAACAGCTGGGGCCTATTTGTTCCTGTTCAGCGCATTCTCCCTGCCAGGGGCTCCCCTGGCAGACTTAAGAGAGTAGCAGAGACGAAGTTTTGACTACGTTACAGGCAGCTCAGATGGGAACCCAGCGGCCGCCAGGGAAGGACGGACACCAAGCATCTGGACAATACACAAAGAGCAACATTGGCCAAGGAACTTCTTTTTAATAATAAAATTTTCTGAGCTTTCCAGTGTTTACTACAAACTACCCTTTCTTTCACAAGCGGAAAGCATCCTTTTAGGATGAATCTGCGTGCCGTAGTAGACTACACTTAGTAAGCGGTCCTTAAATTAGCTTCCGACTCATGGATGCTGCTGGTCATCCTCCCCTCCCACCCACCCCCAAGTGCACAGTAAGGAAGGAAGGATGTGTCACCACTATTCCAGGGGCCTTCAAACTTGACAGCTTTAAGACTTGTGGACTTCAGCTCCCAGAATCCCTCCTCCTCCAGTCATGTTAGCTCAGGGATTCTGGGAGTGGAAGTCCACAAGCCTTAAACTTGCTTAAGGTTGGAGAGCCTTGCCCTATTAGGATATTTTCTTAGCCAACAAAAGGGTGCCGAGAACAGGCTTAGATTCAGCTTAACTTTATATTCTGACACAATTTAAATTTCTATTGAGTTTCTGGGCAATTTGCCTTTTCTCCATTCTAGAAGTACATCAATGAAAAGCCCTTTTTAAGTGCCGATGTCTGCCCCATTAACTAATGAGAAGGAAGTTGAAGGGTGGCAAATTTTGGTCACTCTGGATTTTTATTATGTTTGCATCCTTCTCTAGATTTCACAGCTATATGATGCTTCCTGAGGCATCTATTTATCTTTGGTCCTCTCCCTCCCTGTTGTATTCCTCCCTCCCTCCCCCTCCTCCTTCCCTCCCTTCTTTGCTTTGCTTTCTTCCATCCCTCCATCCATCTTCCTATCCCTTCCTTCCATCCTTTCTCCGTCCCTTCCTTCTTTCTCTCTTCCCTTCTTCCCTCCTTCCATCCATCCATCCTCCCTCCCTCCTTCCTTCCCCTCCAGCACACCAGGTGATCTATCAGTCCACACACACCCCGTGTAGCATTCCTCCCTCCACTAAATCTAAAATCGAAAAATGATTTTAGAATCATTTTAGCTCTCTTGCCCACTGCGGAAGTATCCGCATCATATCCACAAGTACAGAAGGGCCGGGCCGATTTAAAAGATTGTTCGGAGCAAATCTACTTGGATTGAAAGGAATTCTGTCCATTTCTGATAAGCACAGAGGGGCCTTGAAGTACAAAAATGCACCAGGCATTTTAACGGAAGGCTCACCCTCCAATTCAAAATCTGCCAGCGTTTCCCCCCCTTTTTTTTTATCAGGGATAGGAACGCTACGCAGAGCAGACTGAAAATATATCCAAGATGGAAGATTCAACTCCCTTCTTCACCCCTGGTTATCCTGATTCACTGGAAGAGACCTTCTCCAACTCCACTTTGGCCCCTGGAACCCACCAGACACCTTCCCTGATCAAGACCTGCCCAGACAGCTGTGGGTTCTCCTTCAGCCACACTGGTTCAAGTCCAGACTCCTCCCCCCACCCCCCCGCCAATTCACCTTCAAAGGCTGGCGTTTCTCTTTGATGCCCTGAAAAATAAATCCCTTGAAAACCCGAGATTTTTACCTTACTTGGAGAAAAGGGATTTCTCTGCTCCTCGCTTAAACACGCCAAGGTGAAGTCAACCTACAGTCATTTGACTTGACTCCCGTTAAAAGGCTGGCACAGGGCCTTCAGCTGAGAAGGACCAGCTAGCAAAGCCTCTGCTTAGGGACTGGTGAGGAGGGGGTAGAGAGGTATTTTCACCCCCCTTGTGAAAGGGTTGAAGGTGTGACACCAAACTCCAAAACGCAGGGTCTGTGCGACCGAGGACAGATAGACGATCCACCCACCACGAGTGGGAGGGAAAGAGTAAACTCACAGAACAAACGTCTGGGATGCACAGGCTGCACTGATGCGGACTAACTGGGGGTGGGGAGGGATGCACTGGCCAACAGAAACCTTGGAGCCAAAAAAAAGGGTCCACCCAGACTCTCCCAATGGAGCACTTAGGAGAAAGAAGAGATTCTTGAGCCCGTCTCTCTCTCGTGTGCAATTTCATTTCCACATCCCTGCACGAGCTCAACACTCTTGAATGTCCTAGAGATAACTAGGAAATGATGCAATTTTATATAACTGATGAGGATTTTACAATAAACAGGTTTTTTTTTAAAAAAAAGAAAATAAGGAGAAAAAAACCCAGGACTCTTGACTTCGCTGCCACTGATCCATGCTAACCAGGAGCTTTGTGGATTCAGCTCCTAACTATCACAAGCGCAACAATTACAGTATAAAGGTTTTTCTACATCGGAAGTAAGAATTGGTCACGGGAGAAATGTTTCTAAAATCAGCGTTTTTCAGTACGAGAAGTGAAGGAGGAGGGGGAGGGGGAATCCCTTGTGTCAACCTTGGGCGAGCACCTCATTCAACCGTGACAGATTTGGCCAAGTTTCTTGGAAAGTCAACCTGGAAGAAGGAAAAAGGATATACACAACCTGTTAAAATCTTTGTCATGGCAGGAATTGAGGATGTTTGATGGTTCCTCAACACAGGCTTAGCTCACAAGTCACCAATACCTGTTCTCACATCCCCAGGAATTTGCTGGGGCCACTTAACCCCGCTAACATCGTAGCCTGAAGTGAGCTGGAAAGGTGTAGTGCAGGGGTATCAAACTCGGTTTTCATTGAGGGCCGCATCAGGGTGGTGTTTCAGGGGGTGGGTGGGTGGGTGGGTGGGGCATGGCCAGTTCAATGCCACTCGTGCCAGGGGTGCCTGTGGTAGCCAGAGCACTCTGCCAAAAAAACAGGCTCCCAAGCTCCATTTTCAGCTGGGACGGCCTCCTGCAACCCTCTACCAGTGGAAATAGGTTCCCAAACTCCGTTTTCGGCTGGGACGGCCTTGTTATGGCCCGCCGGTGGCTACTGGAGTTGGCAACAGAGTCGGACTGTAGTAAGAAGGTTGGGGAGGAACCTGGGCCAGTCCTGGAGACTAAGGAAGGCTCGGACGAGGGCTCTGCGTCAGAGGCAGAGACGGGGCCAGGGCAGTCTGGCAGTCATCAGCTACCTTCGGGCTCGGACAGCAGTGAGGCAGGGGAGCAGCTGGAGCCAGTTCCCAGCCTGCGCATGCACAGAGCTGCCAGAAGAAGGGAACAAGTACAAATTAAGGGTCGATGTGGGAGTAAAGCCACAGGTGGGCAGTGAATGGCCCCTCCCCTAAGGATTAAAAGAGGAGCAAAAGGGGAGGGGCCCCAGGAAACAATCTGTCCATTCGTTGCAGCCGTGTGGAGATCTGTCTGTGCATCTCAGAGACTCTGTGCTGAGTCCTTCCTTGTCAGCATCATGTTTGGAAACCTTGACTTGGCAGCTCCCCAGGCTAGATGAGGTCTGTGCTCCTAATTACACCCTTGGAAGACTGTTGGCCAGGCCTTTGGCCGAAGGTGAATGCAAGAAATTCACCTTCGTTTAATAAAAGGGGTTTTGCTGGGACAAAGAGTCGGCTTAGTGCTTCTCGGGGAAGCCGAGGTCAGAACAGGCTTCCTGCAACCCTCTGCCAGCGAAAACGGAGCTCGGGAGGGCCGAGGCGCCATGGGCTGGTCCTTCCCTCTTTCTAGGGCAGCCCCACGGGCCTTGAGTTTGACACCCCTGCTGTAGTGGTTCTCACGGGAAGCCCGATGCCACGTTATTGAACTTTTGGGGCTAGTTGGGAAGAGAAAACTTCGGGGGTTCGGGAGAGTGTAACTTACGTCGTAGCCCCTGAGAACGGCCAGATGGAAAGCCAGCAGCTGTAAAGGAATCACACTCAGGATGCCCTGCAGACAGTCCACCGAGTGGGGAACTTTGATGGTGCGCTTGTTATTTTTGATGGTCTCGATATCTTCCTTATCACAAATCACGACAGGCCGCCCCTGTAGAATTTTTTTTTTTTAAAAAAAGTAAACACGAAGGACCATCCGTGAGGGTTGGACTCAAAAAAGTCAAAATATATGGTTGTGCCTGCCACCTTGCCTTTTTTGGTGCCCACCCCCCTCAAAGACACCCTTGCGCGCACACGTTTTGCTCACGAGAAGAAAATTAGATTATAGTAGGAGAAAGCGCTTCTTCAACCCTTCTTTACTTGGGGGTGCATCTCCATTTTTCTCAGGGGCTCAAGATCATCTATAGAGGCTTGTTTCATTAGGCTAATTGAGAACAGAAATTCCATGATGAAGGGACATTGTGGTTAAGGTGAAAAACTACATGACTGCGCCACTTAGCCACGGCAGTTCGAACAATCTCAGTTGCCCTCACTAAGCGTAAAACTTCCGATTTCCTGCCAGCTTCCCCACTGACTTCTTCAGCTCCTTGGATGAGGAACGGGAGGGGAACGGAAGCATTTATCCATCCAGTCAGAGCTGAAGAATCTTTTGGGATGAGAAGCGAAAGGCCTTCCAAGAAAAACAAGAAAGTCCAGGTGCCTCTTGAAAAAAAGAACGCACCTTTGGGACAAGCGTGACCGGGATGGCTGAGGATCTCCAGGGGACACCCACCCACCCAGAAGCTCCCACGGGGGTCTCCTCCAACATCTTTATTAGGGGAATATCGGCTTTGTTTTGTTAATAGCCTTGCTATTTTTTTTTCCATTAGAAAGCAGGTCACTTCCCAGCTGGAACGGGCTCAAATGAAGTCAGCAGGACTCTATTACCTGTCTTTCAATATCCCTGGAAAGGGGGGGGGGGTTGATCCTTGGCTCACCTGGCGCGCCATGACCTGCTGCAGGGCGTTCTGGCACTTGGCGTAGGTGTTGTCCCGCATGATGATCATAATGACGGGCATCAGCTTGTCCACCAGGGCGAGGGGTCCGTGCTTCAGCTCACCGGCCAAGATGCCCTCCGAGTGCATGTAGGTAATCTCTTTGATTTTCTAAAGGGGAGGAAGCCCTTCGTTAACCTCGGCCGAGAACCAACGGTCCCCCCCCTGCTCCCCATCGCTCCAGAGATCTCCTGTGGGTCACGGGGAGGCCACGGGTGAAATCTCCCACATTGAATTCGTTGGAATAAAAAGAACAACCCCTTCCCTCCGCTCGCTCCCTTCTGAGGAAAAGGGGGAAAGCGTGAAGGAAGGCGATCGTGGACGCTTTAAGTGGCGGCTTCCACGTAGGATTGGCCAGAACCAACTTTGTGCTTTATTCTCCTATGGAGTGGGAATGGGAGTGGGGAGGAGAGGAGAGGAGAGGAAAGGAAGAAGGGAAGGGAAGAAAGAAGGGAAGGGAAGGAGAGGAAAGGAAAGGAAGAAGGGAAAGGAAAAGAAAGGAAGGGAAGGAAAGGAAGAAGGAAAGAAAGAAGGGAAGGGAAGGAGAGGAAAGGAAAGGAAAGGAAGAAGGGAAAGGAAAAGAAAGGAAGGGAAGGAAGGAAAGGAAGAAGGAAAGGAAAAGAAGGGAAGGGAAGGAAGAAGGGAAGGAAAGGAGAGGAAAGGGAAGAAGGGAAGGGAAAGGAAAGGAAAGGAAAGGAAAGGAAGGAAGAAGGAAAGAAAAGGAAGAAGGAAAGGAAAAAACGGGAAGGAAAATGTAGGGAGGAGAGGAAGAGGAGGAGGAGGAGGAGAATAGGGCAGAACAGAACAGAATGCTGGCTGGGGAATTCTGGGAGTTGAAGTCCACACATCTTGAAGTGGCCCAAGGTTTAGATCTTCTGCCCACGTCCCGTCTTTGGTCCCCCTACGGTTAGGAATGGCGGCGTTTGACAGGCTTCTCTTTTCACCCACTGTACCCCCCCCCCCCCCCCCCGAGGGACGAGGAGCGTTTCCCTCCCCAACTGGTGTGGCGGCTGCGGGTTCAAGAGGATGCTCACCAGGGCGCCTTCCAGGCAGGCCGCGTAGTGATACCCCCTCCCCATAATGAGGATGGACTTCTGTTGGTAGAGCTCAGTGGCCAACTTCTGGATCTCGTCGTCCATGCTCAGCACTTCCTTGATCAAGCCTATCGAAAGCAAGGAGAGTTCGGAGACCTTGGGTAAGCCGGCCGGAAGGGACCCCACCTTTCTGCATTTATTTATTCGAATGTATGTGGCATCTCGCGCGATTGGGACTCTGGCTGGCTCCCAAAGGAGAAGGGAGACTCAAGAGGAATAAAATGGAAACATTCAAAATGGACACTGTTGGCCCCGGGGCTCCTTACCTGGCAGCAACTTGAGGCCTCGCATGATTTCTTTCCGCCGTTCTTGCATAGAAATTCTGTCGTCGCACATCATGAGCGCAAACATTACCAGGGAGACAAACTGGCTCGTGTAGGCCTAGAGAAGAGGGGAGGAAAAAGGCACCCCGTTAAAGCCATGAATCCCTCCAAGCCAATTCAGGACATGCTTAAATGGGAAACGCCTGAGAGGGCGGCCATCTTCTCCACCTCTCCGTCATCGGGAACGGAGCGACTGTATTGGGAAGGTTTTTATAGAAATGGCTGTTCATATTATTTTGAAAAAGCAAAAAGTTGTGATTTGATGTTAATGCCTTATCCCTCACACCCTGGACAGAAACTGTTTCAACTCCTGCCCTCCAAATGACGCTACAGAGCCCTGCACACCAGAACAACTAGACACAAGGAAGGTTTTTCCCCGAATGCCATTACTCTGCTAAACAAATTATTCCCTCAACACTGTCCAACTATTTACAAAGTCTGCACTATATATTACCATTCATCTTCTCATCACTCCTTATCACCCATCCCCTCCCACTTGTGACTGTATGACTGTAACTTTGTCGCTTGTATCCTTATGATTTATATGGGCTGTTTCCTGGTATGATTTGACTGCTTATTGTACCCTATGACTATTGTTAAGTGTTGTACCTGATGATTCTTGACTCTTGACAAATGTATCTTTTATGTGTACACTGACAGCATTTGCACCAAGACAAATTCCTTGTGTGTCCAATCACACCTGGCCAATAAAGAATTCTATTCTGTTCTATTCTGTTCTATTCTATTCTATTCTATTCTATTCTATTCTATTCTATTCTATTTTCTATTCTATTCTATTCATTTTCTATTCTATTCATTTTCTATTCTATTCTATTCTATTCTATTCTATTCTATTCTATTCTTACCTGTCCTGCCTTTTCGGACTATACACAAAACAGGGGCTTTTCCAGAATGCAGGTGGAGATTAATTCCTGGGACCGCAACTCCCGGCCTTAAGGAAAGCAGGAGGGCCCAGGTGCAGTCAGCATGGGCACTCCAGAGTTAAGACCTGATAAGCCACCACACCTTCACACCAACCTGCGCCTCTGAGCTCTTTACGCCCAGGCTCCTCACCTTTGTGCTGGCCACCCCGATCTCTGGCCCTGCGTTGATATGCACCCCGCAGTCCGTCTCCCGTGAAATGGAGCTCCCGACGGTGTTGGTGATGCCCACTGTGAGGGCTCCCCTTTCCTTGCAGTACCGAAGGGCCATCAAGGTGTCGGCCGTCTCCCCTGCCGAGAGAGAGATGGACCTGGTCAATCGAGAAGGCGCTCCTAGCTGGAGATCTGTCAGAGCAGGGGCCTGATTCCTACCTTCCTTATGAACATGGGACACAGCTCAGACACAGGCAAATTAAGCATGGCTCTCCAAAGCCACAGGGTCTCACCCTGCGAATGAACCTGGACTCGTCTCTTTTCTTCAATATTTGGGAAGAAATGCCCAGGGACATTTCTCTGGCACGTTGGGTTGACCCAAAGGGGCGTGGCACAAAGTCAACACAGCCAGATAATAAGTAGGAATCCCTTTATTAGCTCCAAACTTTGCCTCCAAGGTCCTGGTTATTAATCCAGCAGGGCAAGGTAAGGAGCTCCAGAAGGGAAATAGCATGGCAGTAAATCAACCCAGTTGGGAGGATGCCAGGAATACAGATAACCGCAGTCAACACAAGATAAACTGACGTTTGTTCCCGGCAAATGCAGCTCTCTGCTGCCTCTCCTTTAAACTCTTTTCCTATGGAAAAGGGAATCAGGGCCCTTTCCTCCCCTGTAAGTCACGTTGCTCCCTTCTCCGTTCTTCCCTGCTTATTCTAGGATGAAGAGGGGGTGGGCCTGGGTCTTCCTCTGAACTCCCTCTCCCTTGTTCTACCTCTTCTCTGCTCTCCTCAAGGTAGGAGAGTTGCTAAAACACCGGGTAAACTTTGCATTCTTTTGTCAGCTGATCCCAGAGGCCTCCCTTGGCCATCCCACCTGACTGGCTGATGAAGAAGCAGACATCATCACGGAAGACGGGAGTATTTCTGTCCAAGAAGTCACTGGCCAGCTCCACCATGACAGGCAGCTCCGTCAGTTCTTCCAGCACTTGGCGAGTCTGGGCGAGTGATGCAGGGAGGGGGAGAAAGAGGGAGGAACAGAGCATAAAATGAAAGTAGCAACAGCACTTCAACTCATATACTGCTTCACAGTGCTTTTCAGCCCTCTCTAAGGGGTTTACAGAGCCAGCCTCTTGCCCCCAACAATCTGGGTCCTTGTTTTACCGACCTCAGAAAGATAGAAGGCTGAGTCAACCTTTGGCTGGTCAAACTGCTGAACTGCTGGCAGTCAGCAGAAGTAGCCTGCAATATTGCACTCTAACCACTGCACCACTCAAAAGCATCACTCAAAAGCTGCAGGCCCATTTAAGTACACGTTTATGTTGAGTATCATTTATTCCACCCACAGGCTGGTAAATTAACGATCTCACAGAAGCTCTGTGATGACCCAAAGGGGCGTGGCACAAAGGCAACACAGTCAGGTGATCAGTAGGAGTCGCTTTATTAGCTCCAACTTTGCCTCCAATGTCCTGGTTACCTTCTGGACTGGAGAAAAACTCTCCCAGGAACAGCCTTTGGCTGCAGAGAATCAAGTCCAAAATGTGGTCAACAAAAACTATAAGTCCAATCAAGGCAAGATGAGATAATTAGTCCAGCAGGGCAAGAGAAGGAATTCCAGACCTGAAGGAATGGCAGTTAATTCCGGTTGGGAGGATGCCAGGAACACAGATAACCAAAGTCAACACAAGATAAGCTCATGTTTGTTCCCAGCAATTTGCCTCACGCAGCCTGTTTTTCTTATCAACTGTCTTCCCAGCTGTGGCTAATGAAGGGAATCAGGGCCCTTTCCTCCCCCGTGAGCCACGCAACCCACGTTGCTCCCTTCTCCGTTCTTCCCTGCATGTCCTAGGATGAAAAGGGTCTGGGCCTGGGTCTTCCTCTGAACTCCCTCTCTCTTCTTCTACCTCTCTCCTGCTCTGCCCAGCTGGACTTTGCCCTTCCCCAGTTTCCTTCACAGCCAACAGATCCACACTCACTCCCTGTGTCAGCTGTTCGTCTACTTCCTCGGATTCAGACTCTGACAGGGGCAGGACTAGCTCTTCCTGTATCAATAATTCCAGGAGTCCAACTGTTCAAAGCCTCCAAATTAGATGCCTGGCACGACTGAAACACCAGCACTAGCGATGGACGTAAAAAGGACCCAAGGCTTCGGCTACATGGTTGTGTCACTTTGATTTTTTGCACACACACACGCACACACACACACACACACAGTGCACCATCGAGAAAAAGCTGCAAGTCCCAATAGCAGGACCGACATTTCCCTGCTGCAGGGCCTTGCTGATCTTTCAAACACTTTGAAACGCTACTTTGAGTTCAGCTACTCACAGCGACGCCTGCGTGGTAGCTTGTCCCACAAGCGATGAGGATCAAACGCCGGCATCGCAGGATCTCCTTGATATGGTCTTTCAAGCCCCCGAGGTTCACTGCGGCAAAGAACAAGGCAAAAGTCTTGGCGAAAACGGCCCACAGAAAAGCAGAACGGCTCCAATGCAAAAGGATCCCGCAGGATTTCTTTAGCAATCCTTACGAAAGGAGGCTCAGTGGCGCTCCACCCCTCACCCCAAAGAGAACTCCGCGGCCTGTCAAAGCAACCTCCAGGGAGCAAGATAGCCAGAGGTTTTGATCATGGGACAAGTTGGCCCGTAGCAAGTTTGTTAGCCGAGATCCACCGCAGTGGAAGAAGAGAAACCGAGTTTACTGTCACTGTCCAGTGTTAGAAGAGCATCTACGGATCTCCCCTGTGAATGAAATCTATCTACTTAATAAACCACATTTGGGGAGACAAAGAGTTTTGTGTTTTAAAAAGTCTTGATTTTCCTGAGCAGAAGACAATTCCGAAGCCTTTACCTGTGTAGTCATCGAAGTTGACTCTCCCTCTCATGGTGTTCACGACAGATTCTGGCTGCTCAAATATTTCCTTTTGCATGAACGAACTGAAGTTGCCTTGGAAGAACAAAAGGAAGTCCACTGAATAGAGGCAACCTTGCCCTTCTCGTTTTGGACAAGGAGCCCATCCCTCAACCCAAGTCCACATCCGTAATAACACAGTAGTAAAAACCCATTTTACTCTTCTGAAAATGCACACGTTCATGTTGAACAGGTCTACCTCATAGGGCAAACTGTATCCTGTCTGAGCGCACCTGGAGGGACCTTCTAAGGATCATCTAGCCAACAGGCCACAGAAGAACAGGATGGTGGAGTTACACCTGGAAGGGACTGTGGACACCTCAGAAGCAGCCTGGCAAGCAAAACGTTTGAAAAGTGCCAACCCTCAATCCGTACCCTTCATGATCTGTTGCAGCTCCATCTGGAGGGTCTGAACCGCCCGGCTAGGATGATCTCCAAAAGTTCGCTTGATCCGATGTATGGAGAGGCGGCCCTCAACCACGGCTGCCACGTCATCATCTTCCAGAAAAATCACCCTGTTGGTGTGTTCAATCACAGCGCTGCGAGAAAATGGGGGAGGATGGCTTAACATCACTTGAAGGAACCCATAAACCTGAGGTCTCCAACCTTGGCCACTTTAAGACTTGTGGACTTCAACTCCCAGAATTCCTCAGCCAGCTTTGCTGGAGACCTCTGAACTAGAAGACCTCCAAGAACACTTCCACTCCTATTATTCTATGTTCTCGATCAAGGGTCTTCAAACTTGGCAAATTTAAGGCTTGTGGTCTTCAACTCCCAGAATTCCTGAGCTGACATGGAGGAGGAATTCTGGGAGTTGAAGTCTGTAAGTCCGTAAGTTTTAAAGCTGTCAAGTTTGAAGACCCCTTATCTATCACTTATCCTCTCTCTCTCTCTCCCTCCCTCTCTCACCTTCTCCCCCTCACCCTCTCTCCATATCTATCTATCTATCTATCTATCTATCTATCTATCTATCTATCTATCTATCTATCTATCTATCTA